CATACGGCTTGTGCCGGGGCTCCTCTTCTGGGCCAAGCAGCCACGCTCCGTATGCCGGGTTGCGTTATGTAAGTGCATCCATCTCTGCTGCAGCTGCGTCACCGACGGAGCCATCGGTGCAGACTCATGGCTGGCTCCGGCCAGGGATGGAGAGGGGGAGGTTTTGCAGAAGGCAGCTGGGTTTTAAGCAAACAGCCCCGGGGTAGGACTGTCCCCTCAGTGTTTGTTATCCCTGCATGTACTATTCTGCAGATATGCGCAGGATGAATTTTCCCCGGAGGGCACGGGCTAGTTGCATAACGCAGCAGCATCATGTCAGCACAGAGCGATGGCAGATGGCAACGGCGGCGGCAAACCCTGACCCGACCCTCCGCCACGCCGCAGAGCTGCTCCCAGCCGCCCAAGGAGACCCACGCCTCGCCCCGGGGCACGACGTAGGGTGCCCTGCTCCTGCCCCAGGACTTTATCACACCCATCTCAAGGGCTGACATTTCTGCAGATTCACTCTCCCACCCTAATCCCCAGCCCACACTTGCACTGGGACCAGTACCGAGCCCCAGCCCCAGGCGGAAGCAGTCGCATCAATTACTTGCGCTGGAGATCTCAAGGGCGTGAAGTATTTTGTGCCAGGGTGTGGAGGGGATGGTTTCTGAACCAGTTTGGACAAACCAGCAGTGACACCACCAGACCCACCCCGTGGGCCTTTCCATTTCTATATTCCCATTTCTCTGCAAACAGCACAAAGCTTACCCGGGCACGCACGCAGAGAGGGGACAGGCAGCGCATCGCTTTACGTAAGCTCAGGAACCCTCAGGTGGGCAGCGGGGAGGTTTTTTAGCAAAACCTGCCAAAACGCCCCCGCCTTCCCCACCGCCCTGCTGCTGGAGGCTCGCTCTCAGGAGCGGGCTAGGTGCGCGGCCATCGGCTGCAAGGCTGAAGGCCGGGTGTTTGCTGGCTACAGCAGCCATTTCGTCCCTCTCTGCTCTCTTGTATCTGCGATCTGCTCCGGTCCAGCGGGATCTGCGTGGTTTCAGGGCGAGGTAAGGGCTGGGGAGCCCCAGCTGCACTGCCAGCCCCTGACACAGGCAGGCTTTTAGAGGGCTCCTGTGACCAGCAGCGGCCAGGCAGCTCTGCAGGAGCTTGAGAAGGACCTGGGCTGGGAAGACGTCAGCCTTGCCCCTTGTAATCTGTAATATTTTCAGTTTCATTGGAGTGTTTGGCCAGGAGAATCCCTAGTAACAGCTCTTGTTTACAGACAGCTTTGCCATGCAGGCAACACCTCCCAGTCCTTTGGTGTCACTGGTCAGTGATGCTGCCAGCTACCCCACGTCCCTGGGGGCCCTTCCAGACCATGTGTGACCACCCAGGCCCCAGGACCAGGACCTCTGAGCTTGGGACTATTTAGGAACCAAGCTGGGGGGAGAAGGGAGGGGACTCCGCTTGAACAGAGCTGAGCCCAGTCTGAGCACGATGTTTTGTAAGGTTCCTTCCTGAGCAGATGCAGGTCTACAAACTCAGATGCTGGAGGCCAAAGCATCCTACTGGGTTTGGGCAACTGCAGTTCGCGCCAAAGGGAAGCCCTGCCTTTAGCCAGGAAACGAAACAAAGTGGACCCACGTGCCTCGTAGGCGAAAGCAAAGGAAACAGCTTTGTGCTGAGACAGACCTGCCACTCCAGCCCCGAGCTGTCCCGAGTCTCCGAGGGAAGGGGACGGTGCCAGACAGCGAGGTGCTCTCAGCACTGACTGCAGGAACTCTACTGTGCAGCAGAGGAGGCAGAACCGGCAGCTCCTTCCCTGCCTCTGGGAGGAACGGACGGACCCTCAGCTGATATCAGAGGGTGCTCGCAGGTGTACGCTGTGCACCAGCCTGTCTCAGCCGCTGGCCAGGATCTCCGAGGAGCAGGGCCCCTGCCCAGCCCTGCCAGCTCCGCTGGGCCTTTGGGCAGCAGCAGAACGTGCAGCTGCTAATTCTGTTTCCCACCTCTACTTTATTTTTGCAGTAGAATAGGTGGAAAAAAACCTCAGAAGCAGTGCTCTGATGAGTCACTATCGAAATAGCTCTGGGAACATAAAAGACTCCTTTGTGTCACTACAAAGTACATTATTGGGCTGGTACAGCAGACAGAATAATATAAAAACTGCAGATCACTTACCCAGCTGCAAAGCACAGCAGTGCCCTGCCCTGAATTTAAGCAGCACATGTAACCTGGTCCATTCTGGTTTCAAGCTCAAAGGCATCAGGTCGATCCTGCGGGTTAGCAGCCAACATGTCTTTCAAGAGCTGCTTGATCCCCTCAGACATGGAAGTCCTGCGTTTCTGAGGGATGTGCAGCTCCATCTTTGGGTTTTCTAGCAGCGCTTCCCCAACGGGCACAATCTCGGTCCCCTGCTTGATGTAGGTCCCCAGCAGCTCCTTCTTGGTCTCGGCATCGATGAAAGTTATCCTTTCAATCATGGCCCAGATGATGATGCCAAGGGCGAAGATGTCAGCCTTGGCGGTGTAGTGTCCCTCCCAGACCTCGGGCGCCATGTAGAAATCGGAGCCGCAGGCCGAAGACAGCCAGTACTTGTTCACATTCACATTTTTGTTCTCGTGCCCACCCTCCTTACCCCGAGCAGTCAGGCCAGCGCAGACCTTACTCAGCCCGAAGTCAGCCACCTTGAGAACAGGGGTGCCGGACTTCTCGGTTATCAGGATGTTGTCTGGTTTCAGGTCCCGGTGGACAATATGGTTCTTGTGCAGGAAGGCAATGGCGCTGGTCAGCTGCAGCATGAAGCTCTTGTTTGTCGCTGGGTCGGGTCTTCGTGAGAGCACGTACTGGTTGAGGTCTCCCCCTTCACAGAACTCCATGACGAACCACAGGTAGCACGGCTCCTCCGCGTAGCCCAGGATCCTCTCACCTAACCGAAGGGGACAAAAGCAAGAGTGGGTTTTTCAGACACATTACAAAATGTCCACACTAACTCAGCACGGGCAAGGAACGGGTCTGGTTTATGCGGACAGTAAAGGCCTTGGGAACGTGACTGGGACCTATCGCACCGCAGGGTACCAGCAGCGACGCTGGCACTGCTGTGGCTTCAAGCACTTTAGGATCCCGTTGAGTGCCATGCACCAGTGCCACGATTATCGGAGCCCACTGCCACGATTACCGGAGCCCGCTGCCACGATTACCGGAGCCCGCTGCCACGATTACCGGAGCCCGCTGCCTGGGAGCCAGCTCAGGGACCCGTTCCCAGGCGTGCGAGTGAGGCCGAGCACGCGTCTTCTCAGGCGCTTGCAGTGAACTTGGAAGCGGAGGGTTATTTTCCTGCGCTACCATCAGGCAACTCTCCCCGGGCTCTAACAGCCAAAGCAGCAGAGCACAATTAGCAGCGAGTCTACAGGAAAAAAATCAGTTCTATGTGAAGGCCAGCTCTCCCACCTGAGCTCTGCTGCAGGAGGGAAAGGCTGGCTCATACCTTACGCTTTACTGGTATAACTGCAAGCGGGGAGTAAATCGCACCCCTTAATGCTGTGCCAGCACAGCCTCGCTAAGAGCAGCCACACCAGTGCCAAAGCCTTGCACCACACTGGCTCTTCTCAGACTAAATTTGTGTGTTTAAACATTGTGTTTGTGCTAGGGGAGCTCTGCCACTTCACACCGCTTACGTTAAGTGCCAACAAGTCTTTAAAGAGAGGAAACTGGAGGCCCAAGTAGCAAACAACATTTAAGTACAATCTCAGCCACGCTAACGAATATAACTCTTGCCTCGCTCGTTAGCGCTGCTGCTCAATATTATGCCCCGAACAGCTTCTTCCTTCACCAGACATCTTGCTGAGCTCTTCAAGCGTCTCAGGTTCAACTCATTGCATCTAGCTTTTACTCCACAACCCCCCTGCCAAAGCAAACCACTCTCTTGCACGTAAATTAGACACGCGGAGAAATGCAACAGCATCATATCGGCTAACAGGGCCGGGTCTGCCGCCGGCGCTCCCCAGGGCATCCTGGCATCGCGGTGCGATGCCAGGATGCCCTGGGGAGCCCCGGCGGCAGACCCGGCCCCATTAGCTGATGCCAGGATCACCGGCACAGAGGACCCAGGCGACAGACAGAGCCTGCGCACACAACCAGGGTATCATTTCGCTCTAGGAACTAGGGGTTTTTTTTACCCTCAAGCACCATAAAGAGAGAAGCTGGAGGACACCACTCACTTCTGCCACAGTTAACAAGTCACACAGACGGATTTGAGTGTTTTGAAAGCAGTTAACTAACTCCACCCATTTGACAAAGTTGGGTTTTGTTTTAGCAAAGCCCTAGAGAGCATCTGGGAAAGGAAACTTCCAGCAGCAGGTAAAGCCAAGGACTACCAGGGACACCAAGCCCCGGGCTGCCCGACACCCATGCCTGCGATGGTCAGGGATCAGTGTGGGTGGGAATATTGGTTATTTGCACAAACAGTCTGTATCCATGGCTACTGCTATGGAAATAAAAGTCTGCACAACAGAAGGATTTGGCTGCACCTCCCTGCCCTCAGCAGAAGATGAAGGTTAGGTCTGGGGGATGGGAGGGACCGTGAACAGGCTGGAGATACAGGGCCTTGGGTGCGCTTTGAGGGGCCAAATAAGACCCCAAAGTGCTGGAGGGGGGCTCAGCACGTGAGCCCAGGGGCCACCTGGGAGCAGCACAGGACAGCTTGGCTCTGGAAACCAAAACGCTGACCGGGAAAAGCAGCTTCTCCAGTGCAAGTCACCCTTTGGTGACACTAGCATGACAGCATGGAAACTGAAGCAGAGGCTGCTCGTTCCAGGAGCGGAGACCTTTGCACAGCCAGGACAGCCCCAGCTCACACCGCTGCCGCCACCTCAGGTTTGCTAAACCCCAGCAATGCTGCAGCAGGGCACAGGGCTTTGCTTTCCTGCTCCCCTCAGCATCCCTACAGCCCCAGCGTGGGGAGCAGGAGGGCCTGGCTCTTCTCAGCCAGGAACCACACCGTGATGGGGAGCGCGGCAGAGCCCCGCGCCCATCACGCACGGCCAGGAGCATCAGGCCGGGGCATGCAGGCAGGAGGGCGAGAGCATTCACACGGCAGCGCTGCCGACAGCCCCTTCCCGCAGGGAAGCAGCTCAAACACCGGCTCGCCAGCAGCAGGGACCTGCTGGCTCCAACAAGTCAAGGTTTGTTTTTAGCATAATGAAGGCTCCAATTTAAAACTTGGCCCCTGAACTGCAGCAAGCGCAGGGAGGACGCCGCTGACCCAGCAGTAGGTGCAAGCACCATGCATTTCACTTTGGGTGGAGCGCTGCTAGGAGAGGCTTAAGCCAAGAGTAATATTTCCTCATTTTCCTTCTATAATCTGAGAGTGGTTTAGTTGTTAAATCATCTTCCTGCCTTCATAACAAACAGCTTTAAGCATAAAGAGCTGGCAAGTCGCTTCCTAAAGATGAGATGTTAGCAAACTGAAGTCAAGCAGCCAAGAGCTGAAGAGATGCAGATGACAGGCCAGACCTGTTCTCTATCGCCCAGCGAGCATCCCTGCACGCTCCCTGCCCAAACGCAGGACGGCATGCGCTAACCTCTCCGTCCCTACAGCGGCCCTCCCATGACCTATCCTGGGAGCTCATTAACAGCTTGCTAATTTGCTTAGCATCACATGGAAAAAAATGTAACGAGAGCAGAACCAGCACCCACTGCCGTCTGTAACCCCCGACTCCCTCTGCAACGAGGCTGCGCCGGAGAGACGAGAGCCAGCAGCACGAAGCCTGGGTGCTCGGGCTGACGGCAACGCGCGTGGGCAACGCCAGGGCAGCCTGCGAGCACGGCCAGGCACCAGCGGCGAGTCGGTGGCCCCGTGGGTGACACGCTAGGATGCGACACCCTATAGCTGTTCACTTAATAAAGCAGCTCTGTCACGGCTATGGGTTAGGAACAACAGGAGGGGCACGTGGCCGTGCACAAGCCCTGATGGTGTGCATGTATCAGGGCACGTTGCTCAAGTACGTGTCTCTCCTGCAGGCTTCCAGCTTCCTTTCTACACTCTGCCCTTAAGTTTATTATTCCACATCTCATTAGAGTGATGAAGGTGCAGGCTCCGCACTGTAGCTGAGACCCAACATCGCCTGGTATCCTGACAGTTGTGCTCCCGATTCAGAAAGTCTCCGATTAATCCCCGCCGTGCCCTGAGCCCCGGCGCATTGGCACAGCATCTGTGCAGGCCCGTAAATAGCCCAGCTGCGGTCGTGCAGAATGGCACGGCAGCACAGCTACGTGCCGGCTACCTCGGCCGGAGCAACAGCACTGCGGCTCCATGCACGCAGCTTGCATGCTGCGGGCAGGGAAGGAGAGCAACCAGACTTGGGAGGCTCACCTAGCCCTGGCTTCTATTTTGAAAATATTTATCGGTGCCATATCAGACCCAAAGGTTGGGAAGGCAGCGAGCGCAGCCTCTGCCAGAGCCTGTGGCCAGCAGATAACACAGCCCGGAGGGCAGTCAGGAGGAAGGCAGATGGAGGGGAGAATGCACTCTGGTTTGAGGAGCGAAACTGCTGCTCTCTGGCCTTGGGATGGGGAGCCCAGCTCTGCTCCCCTCTTCAGAGGGCTGCAGCGGGACCAGGGCAGGCAAAGGCCCCCCCAGCAGGGAAGTCAGGGGGCTCTCTCCCCACCTAGAGATGGGGGGCACCCACAGCTACCCGAGAGCTATCCCCAAGCCGTGCCATCTCTTCTCAGGGTGTGCAACATGGCAAGGGGGGCAGGAAAGCCCTGCACCTGCCAGGAGAAGCTTGACTTGCTACAGCTGGACGTGCACTCAGCGAAGGGAAGAGCTGGCTCCTTTCCCGGGGAGCCGTGCCCGCGAGGGCACGTAAAGGAAGCACCCAGGCTACACCAAAATCAGGACACTGCCCTTCTGGCAGGGGCTCCCTTGGGTGGTTGTGTGGGGGGTGTGAAGGGAAAGCAGGATCAGGTCTGCATGGGGGAGAGCCAGGCAGGTCCAGACATGTCCCCACCGGAGCACGGAGGGGACAGGCAGGGCAGGGGCAGTCAGAGCCAGAGGTCTGCTCCGAGGATGGGTCTCGGCAGCCTTGCATCAAGTCTGTGCCTGGCACAGGGCTTGGAGGCTGCCTGCGCTGGGGGGGCATGGGGAGATTGAGCCCCCCAAGGAGCGTACGGGAGTCCTGGCACCCAAATTTGGGGAAGGAGGGGTTGGGGTGAGCTGGCTCTGGCTGCGGGGCGCAGGGCCATCGAGGAGATAGGGCTCCAGTATTTTTCCACATCTTCATTGCACATTGGCAGAGCTGGATCTGACAAGCAGCCAAGGGAGCAGAGGAGGGGAGGGAGCGTTTCGGAGATGTCACCATCACAGTCATCGGCTGTGGCAGGAGAAGGTGACTCCTGAGAGCCCCGTGATGCTGCTGAGGGACCCCAGGGGAAGCTGGGGGTGTCAGCCCAGGCTACAGGCACTGGTGCTTCCAGGGCTATCCCCACCGAGCCAGCACTTGGGCACGGGGACAGGAGAGTGCAAGGAACGGTCCCAAAGCTGTAAGAGCTCGAGGGAGCAGGCAGGGCACCCTACCGGGCTGCAGCCTCGGGGTACTCAGAGGAGACGGGACTGTGCATCAGGTGGAGAGGGGGGAGATGTCCCCTTGGTGCGACTGGGGCAGAGACCCCTGAAGGTCCCCAGGGGACACGCGTGGGCTGTGGTGCAGGTCAGGGTAGCAGGGGGAGCCCCAGGAGTGGGGTGTAATGGAGGAGGAGGTAAGCGCTGGCAGGGGGTGCAGGGAAGGGCTGAGGGCAGCACACAGGGATGCTCCCCAGGGCTGGGTCTGAGCCTGGAGATGACAACGGGGTCCCTCAGGAGGAGAGGCACGGGGCTGGGGTGCTGCAGAGGTACAGGGCACAAGGAGGGACCCCACGGGCAGGGCACAGGGCTGCCAAGGCACGGGGTGGGGGCTTAGGGAAGGGTGACCCTGGGAGCAGCACACAGAGGAAGGGGACGCACAGGGAGAGCCCAAGGGCACAGCAGGGGGCAGGGCCCAGGCCAGGTGATGCTGTGCAGGGGTCCCTGGGGGTGCTTGGGGGAGCCCTACAGGGACAGGACCGAGGCAGGCCATGGGAGCAGAGGGGAGCATGCCTGGGGCAGGCACCGCTGCTGTGCAGGGGGGCCCCAGGGCTGGCGGGGGGCACAGAGAGGACTGGGATGAGCAGGGGTGCAGTGGGGGGAGCCTGGGGCTGGTTATACCAGCAAAGAAGTGAGTTAAGGTGGAGGGAGGGGTGCTGTGAGAGGCGGGGGGGAGCTTGGGGTGGTCCTCTGAGGGCAGGTGATGGCAAGG